ACCACTTTATCAATTTGAATGAAATTTTTTGCAGTGTTTTAAGAAATAATTTTACTTTAAAATCGCGTATCATTTGTGAACTATTAAATGTTTTACAAGGACGAATTTTCTGTATAAAGTCAATAATTGTGTGAACTTTTGAAGCCCAAACTTTTTATAGCCTTAAATACGCTAATGAAAGATCCGAAAACTATACCCATACAGAACGACATGTTTTTGAAATTGTAGCAAAACTTTTGGTTGACAAATTTTAATTCTATATTGCATAAATATTAACTTGAAATATCTGTCATTTTCTCCCTACCCAGTTTACCTCTATTACTCATTATGATGTGGACTTGACATTGTTATTGAATCTTATGCAATTTGATTGGATAAAGTTATTATTAGATTACCTTCAAACTGTTCATGCTTTTTCGTACGAGTATATTGATTAAATCAGAGCGTGCATGAATGTGTACAGAAAATTAAATGACCTGCAAACTGGACACTGGACCAGCCCATATTACGTTTTATCAATGAATAGATTTTTTTTTTATTTCCCAAATTACAGGGCCCATAAAGGGCATAAAATCAGATACAATTGATTTACATAATTGGTAACAACAACAATAATAGCGGCATATAAATAGATATTTAGTATATAAGCATTGGTCAGAATCAGATGAACGAAACTTAAGGTATGAAAGGTAACAATTGCCACTTTTTATCTTTTCACATAATTTTCCACATACACATTAGATAAATTATTTTTGATAGCCTATTGCGGAGAAAAAAGAGAAAGTTTACTGTATTAACGTTCTATTCCATTAAATACGCCATTTTTCGAAGATAAATGCAGAAAAACATTTATGAACGGCTACGCCAGGTAAAATTGTTGTTTATCCTAAAAAAAAATACAATTTTCAGTTTCATTAGAATATTATAATAATAATAAATCCCAAATTTATGTAGTCATTAGATAAAGTCCTTATATGTCCGATCTGCCTATTTTTGGACATCAAAAGACAATACGATCGTTTTAAGGTCAATTTCGTCTACCTCACACAATCTTGTTAGGCACTATAATGAAATGGACCTGAAATTTATTTCACATGTTTCCTGAAAATTGATAAATATCAAAGCAACATAGAGCTGTTTGTTCTAGTTCGTATAATGTCATGTTTGTTTGTGATGACCCCCCTTTTCGGGATCGCATCAGAATTATAGTTATCTCGTATCGCATGAGGATGACACATGTCAACTGAGCAATTATGTTTGGGACTTAGTTTTAAGAAATGATGTCAAAGTAACATTATGAAAATATTTTTAGTAAGCTGAAATATATATTTATTTTTTACATGTTTATGTCTTGTAAGACAGGCCTCTACAATAACTTTTTTTTCAACTTGTCCAGTAGGACAAGTACATACCAAAACTTACTTGTCCGAATGAAATTGTAACTTGTCCAAAAAAATCTTAATAATAACCTTTTTTGCATTTTAAGTTGATTCAAGGAACAAAATGAATTAAAACAATAGAACAGAATTTGATTTATATCTTTTGAAATATGAGTCGAATACAACTGAATCTAGTCATGTCACAGAACTTAGGTTCTACATGTAGTTCATCAATGCCAAAGTCTCATCAGATTCTGCACATGAGGCACCGTCTGATAGGGCTGTCAATGTACACTCATTAGATTTGTATCCTGGTTTTTTAAAGTTGAAAAAAGTTTATTCAAATGCAATCAATAAAAAAAAGATGAGGTATGATTGCCAATGAGACAACTCTCTGCAAGAGACCAAATGACACAGAAATTAACAACTATAGGTCACCGTATTGCAAGTATTGTTTTTTTTTTTCTACATATGATCAAATATGATTTTGTGAATTTAATGGTAAATAATTTTTCATTTTTATCTAAAAAATATTTTTGTTAAAAAAATTACCGGTATGTTAATTAAAACGAGGTACTGATTTGTCTTGGTCCCGAAATGTCTCCTGCGTTGCCAAACTGTCTATTAATCATGTCTATTAAATTTGTCTCCTATGGTGCCAAACTGTCTATTAAACATGTTAAACTTGGAGCCGAATCGTTTCTGAGCTTGTGACGAACTGTCTTGTAAAGTTACCTTATCTACAAAGCGCATCGCTGATTCGGATCAGTAAGACTGGTTTCCGAGAATAGTATGCATTTTACCTGTTAAAAAGTACCTGACAAAGAACCAGTTTTAAATTATCGATTGCAAGTAAACATATCTTGTTTTCATCATCTTTTCTTGTTTTTTGTTTATAATTACTTTGTTCATCAAAGTTGGATTAGATTTATTTTCTGCAGAATAATTTTACTTGTCCCGTCGGACAAGCTTGATATAGTTTTTACTTGTCCGACCCTTTTTCCCGCTGGTACCGGACAATCGGACAAGCGTTATTGTCGAGCCCTGTAAGATATTTTATTTCTGTCCCGTTTTTCAACATTTGCGTCTGGAAAGTTGAAATGTTTTAACTGAATGGTTAATTTAAATTAATTATGAAAATGGTTAAAATTAAATCAATAAAGGAAATTATTGCCCAGTTACAAACACTACCAGGGGATAATCCATAATGATTTTTTTTTCAGTTATATGTTTCAGCACATGTATAATTAACCCCAACTTTAGCCTGGTAAACTTGTTGTCTCCTTGTAAAATATAAAACATATTTAAAATGATTTCCTGCTAAAGTCTTATATTGATATAAAGTTAAAACCGTCTTGCTTCTCACTAGTTAACACTCCTGTCCTGTCAGGTTTAATTCTTATATATACGGATGAAAAATAAAAGTCCACAAAACATTAACATGGCAGCAATTGCTTTTACAGCCTTTAAGACTTTGATTTTTTTTTACAGAAGAGTGTCCACCATGCACTTGCATTACACTATAATAATAGTAGAATAGTATGATATACAAATAGATGAAAATTATATATACATGCAACCGTAATATTAAAATAATATATAACAACAAACCAGTGTATTCTCTGGAACTATTATTATATTAGTATAATAGTCTAAGGTATACTGATTTGTATCACTACAATATAATAGTTATTACGGTGAGGTTGAATTTCCTGTCATTTATTCATCATCCAAGCACGAACTTGTATAAGAAAAAAAAATCTCTGTAAATTAACCTCAGTTTCAGGTATAGAGATGTGATCTGTTTCTGTGACATGTGCTTTTGACCATCCACAAGAACCTGCGGTCATCCGATGTTCAGTACTTCAGTACTTTGATTATAATTTGTTCATACGTTGTACTGTTACACCTCTGTTCCGGGGTAGGCGCCAGGAAACATGTTTAACCCCGCCACATTCGTTATGTGCCAGTTCCAAGTCGGGAGCCTGTAGTTTATAGCCGACTATACGGTATGTGTTTATCTCATGGTTGAAGGCCGTACGGTTGCCTATAATTGCTTACATCCACTTCATTTGAACTCATTTGCAATCATACGACATCTCCTTATCTTTATATCAATACATCAAAAGCATGTTAGCCAGACGAAATAAGCCCTGGAATACTAAAAAAAATTATCAAATGAATAAGCCCCTATCATTAGTCAACCTTTTCAACAATTCATCAATAACAGCTTAATAACTGATGAATGGACAACAACAGACATATGGATGTCCACTTTTCAAGAAGGCTGACCATTCGATACCGGCAAACTACTGCTAAGTATCCTTAACTTGCATTATCTGCAAGGTGATCGAACATAAAGTATGCTTCAACATAATGAATCACCTCGATCATCAAAAAATGTAATATCATCAATGAAAAACCACATACTTTTCGTAAATATCACAGTCGCGAAACACAACTTTGTACTGTCATCAATAACTGGGCCAAAAAAATTGATAATGGACACCAAACAGATATATTTATATTAGATTTTGAAAAAGCCTTCGGCACAGCCCCACATGAACAACTCAAATCGAAATAAACAGTTACGGGGTATTGGGTAAAACACTATGTTGGACTGACCCATTCCTATGCTACTACAAGCAAAGAGTCATGGTAAATTGGACAAAATCAAACTGGTCCACCGTTGATTCAGGAGTACCTTAAGACACTGTCCTGGGTCCTGTGTTATTTAGTCTTACTGACATATCAATGATACTTATATATTGGATAATCGGGTGTTTGGCCAGTAGAACCACAGAAACGATCAGGAGTCGGTTTCACAAAAAATATTACGACTAAGATTGATCATGACTTATGAGCATGTGATATCCTATGAAAATAAATAACCAAAAAGAAAAGATGTAAATCCTTCCGGTTTCCGTCTTCGCCTTTTAGAACACCCAAATCCCCTGTTTGTGATAAATGTAATTGTCCTCCATTATCCATATCAAATAATACTATACAACTGTTACCTGATGGGGAAATCTAAAATATTTTAACTAACTTAGTATATTGGAGTAATGAACCAAATGCACATCAAAACCAAGAAAGACTTGAATTATCTGAAACACAAAATGCATTTTACTTCTATTTTTCTAGGTCCTGCTGAGCATTAGATCTTGTTTGTTTGTACTCAGAAAGAGGTTCGTGTTGTAATTACAGCTATTTTTGGAAAATGGTTATGATGAACTTCAGTACAATGATATTGAAGCAAAATGAGGTATAATAACTGTAAAGGTTTCCCTGTCGAGTTTTTCTACAATCAAAGTCGGGTGAAATTTTGTTCCTGGGCTCGTGGATTGCTGAAGACAACATTCACAACATTATGTCATTTTAGTCCATCAAAATCCAAAAAAAAGATGTTATCTTTCTGAAACACAAAATGCATTTAACTTTTATATATCTAGTGGATTCCAGGCCTTAAAACTTTTCCAACTGCACAGGTTAGTCTGTACTCAAGAGTATTTTTTGATGTGTAAATACAGCTGCCATTTTTGTCCATTTGTTATGATGAAAACCTTATATGGCAAATGGTTAAATAAAATTCTTTACAAAGAAAATGTGAATAACACTTACCGTGATTCTTACCCCAATTTTCACCATCTTTCGTCCAAAGTACACGTCAACGAAGGCAAATAAACAAATATGCTATTTATAAATAAAAACGCACTATTTACCTTGATTTCTATTCAATAAGTTAGAGTTGTCTGTCTTTCAATATACTTTCCAGTTGTCGCCGAATCGGCATAAAATGAATGAGATTTCGAGGTGGGTTTTTTTTTATCATTTCAGAGGGAGGGGACATGGGGCCAGTATTTTATTACGAATTTATTCGCAGCGCAAAATTCGATCTTGTAGAGTTTTGATAATCATGATATTAGTTATAACGATTTGACCTTTCCCTTAGTATTTATACGTGTACGATGACCGCTAAACTTGAAATTGTACGTTCTCATTTATATATATTTTGCACCAAGCTGCCTTTCATATACGTGATTCCGCTTTTTGATGGTTAACTTGTACTGTCGATTTTCTTGTTTTTTTTTTTCGGGTTTCGCATGACAGTTTTTGTAAGATTTCTTTGTCAGAATTTTGAAGGATTTCACGTGTACCTTTCCCCATCTTTTTCTTATGGCGTGAATACATATATCATGTATATATATAAACAAGTCTAAATTGAAAACAACGTTCAAACCTATGATTGCGTTGGATAAAAACCGCAATTTTTATACGTGTGCATGCAAAACAAATTTCTTGTTAGAGGGGTCTAAATACAGCACAAACAACATTTTCCAATAGACCAAAAAAGTGAAAAAGTATATTTTAACAGAACGCATTTGACTAACAGGTCGAACAACAAATGTTCTTAAACCCTGCTGACTGCCATTGGCGATTGCCAAATAAACGGATCACCGATGGAATAAATGGATCTTAATTATAAATTTAATACAGAAAACAATAAACTTGCGGAAAAGATGATATATACCGCAAACAAAAGGTGCAAAGGTTTTTGTACACCATATCCGGATTTCGACAGTTAATCTCTTCAGTGATGTTAGGAATCGAAACGGTATTTGGAAAGTCATACAATTTACCTCAATTTAGGATAGACTCTTGAATATATATACTCAAATTTATAGATTCGCACCGTGAAATTCGACGTTTAGTTTTGACTGTTGTCACAAATCTTGTCACAAAACATATTTGTGTTTCGTTTAATGTTTTGTCATAAATTAGGCCGTTAATTTTTTGCGTTTGAATTTTTTAACTTTTTTATGGAGGGAGGAAGCATTTGTAGCTCACTATGCAATATGAGTTTTGCTCATTGTTGAAGGTAGTACGATGTTCTATAGCTGCTTAAATCTTTGTTTTTTTTCTTTCGGTTGGATAGTTTTCTCATTGGTAAGTCGTACCACGCCTCCTTATTTCATTTAGGACATAACTGTAAAAAGGTCATGTCGAATGAGTGTTTCTGTATCTTTTGAATAAATTTATATCCATCCAAATTCTCTCGTGTAATTTCGGAATTTTCCAAAAGCATTAGTGCAATGTTCCAAATGGATATGGAATGGAAATTACGCGAGAGAAATTAAAATCAACGTGTTGTTCATCAAATTTATCGAACTGGCCAGAACCAGTTTTAATTCATACAGAATTCGGAAATAAAGGTCATATAATTCAAATATCTAAATCAAACTTCGGGATCCAATGTTTATATATTATTATGTACGAAGTAAGTCTTTTATAAAGTATACTTAGGATATACATGATAGTAAATGCATGTGAACTTCTTTGCAGCATTCAAATCTTATATCATCGTTTTCCAACTGTAAAAAATGTAAACACAAATTTTGATTAAATATATATCATGTATATGTATATTCTTTTGTTGAGCCTGCGATGTTGTTTTTTTTTGTTACCAGCAGTATCGAGAACAGTCTAGGACTGAAGATTTTTTAAACACCAATTCCTTTGTCTAACCTTCTTAGAATTTGATGAAACTTTGCAAAAAGCTTTTTTGTGATTGAAGATAAATAGTGGCTACTAGTATTTAAAATTTTGAAATATTTTTTTTTTCATTTTTCCGTATTTAACTGATAAATTGACTAAGGTTTTTTTTCAGTTAACAGTTACATAAAGACTGGGATTAAATTTTGTAGACATCAATAAACTTGGCAAATCTTCATGGAATGTTATGAAATTTGGACAGAAACTTATCCATGATCAAGAAATAGCATCCGAAGAAGAAAGTTAGATTTAAAAATTTTTTTCAATACTTTATTGATAAAAGACTTTGTTATTGGCAATTAACATTACACTTTTACTCTGCCAGCAGCAATAGCAGGCGTGACACAAGGTTCTGCGAAACCCTTTACAAATTTTTTTTATTGCTGGATATAATTGCAACCAGCAGTAAAATGTTATTTTAAAGAATAATTTGAGCGAGAAATCAACAATTGCAAACATGTTGACTTGATGGACGACTATATCTTATCATATTTAAGAAGCTTTATTGATTAATTGTTGGTTGCTTAACGTCCAGCAGGTGCCCGTCCATGCAATATTTCATGCATTTTCAGGACGAAAAACCATTATTATTAATACAAAGGTAGGTTCTTCAAAGTAGGCCGACCGAGACGAAGGGTTGGAAATTTGAACTTCCACTTTAAATAATGTATGTTGTATAGAGGACATATATTTAGCCTAGCAACAGGCCACCTACGGATCACTAAAAATATTGTTGCAATGGTTCTTTAGACTACGAGGCATCTGATGTAATTTCCCTATTCTGACCGAACATGGAAGTGAATCTATATATCCAACACACCCAATCTAGGCTCCATTTTGGTCATTTTACTACCGTTCGGAAAGATTAAGATTACCATATTTCTGTAGCAACGTCACATTTGGGGTTGAGAGAGTTCGATTGATAACATATATTTTCATATTTTCATAGATGAGAGAAAATACCCAAGGAGTTTCAAAGTTTTAGGAAACAGCTAAACTAATTGAACTAAAAGCAAACAGAACATTTATCCAAAGTTTGATTCATGCAAGACAATTATGATTACTATGCTTGATCGTTCATTTTTAATCCAAGTACGGACAAAGAATTTTTTTCGGAATGCCTATATAATGCAACAGAATGTGTTTCTGATTCGGCCATATATAAGTTATGTATGTATCAGCGTTATTTGTAATGAACGTCATTAGTAAAATGGATCATTCTTAATACAGGCAAGTCATGTTTTGATTTTATTTTCAAGTGTAGAATTGAAAGAAGCAGTGTTATACATACATATTTCCGGTAATTTTGGACCACTTAATGGACAACAGTAGCAGTCTTCATCGATTTGACCATCACCATCGTTATCTGGAAAAGTATTTTTAAAAATCGGTATAGTTAAAAACAAGAATGTGTCCATAGTACACGGATGCCCCACTCGAACTATCATTTTCTATGTTCAGTGGACCGTGAAATTGGGGTCAAAACTCTAATGTGACATTACAATTAAAAAGATCATATCATAGGGAACATGTGTATTAAGTTTCAAGTTGATTGGACTTCAACTTCATCAGAAACTACCTTGACCAAAAACTTTAACCTGAAGCGGGACAGACGGACGAACGGACGAACGGACGGACGAACGAACGGACGCACAGACCGAAAAACATAATGCCCCTAGGTGGGGCATAAAAATATTCTAGGAAACTATCAGTAACGTTAATTTGTTAAAAAAAAATGTGAGAAAAAATGGGAGTATGTTTCAAATCCCCACAAGATACAAACCCATTATGAAATATCAATATTTAGGATGTTATCAATCATATTATATAAAATACCCGCATTTATACTTCATAAAGTATAGTTGATTAGTAGCATAGGGAGTCAAACTTCCTTGTCATGTGTGGGCCTTTATTTGGCTTCAAAACAACATAATTTTTAAAATTCTACAAAATCTTGTTCCAATTATGCTAATATTATCGATAATTAAATAGAGTGAAATATTCAATGCAAAAATGCTGTGATGTCACTATGACGTCATAAGCATGTCGACAATGCCATATTTGGCTCAAATTAACCATTATACACATTTTTTTGGCGAAATCAAAACCTAGCCACAGCATTACCTATAAAGATATTTTAGTCAAATCAATATCTGTTTGTAAGACATCTTGTAACAACAAATATTTAGATTAGGCCGTTAGTTTTCTCGTTTGAATTGTTTTACATTTGTCATTTCGGGGTCTTTATAGCTTACTATGCAGTATGGGTTTTGCAAATTGTTGAAGGCCGTACGGTGACCTATAAGTGTTTACTTCTACTTCATTTGGTCTCTGGTGGAGAGTTGTCTCATTGGCAATCATACCACAACGTCTAATTTTTACTTTTGATTATATCTAAAAATATTAATGACAAGAAACTGACTTGGGTGCGGGAGGTCGTGGGTTCTATCCCTGTCCAGGTCAAACCATAGACTAGAAAATTGGTTTTGCTGCTTATTTGCAAAGAACTTGGTATATAGGAGTAACTGGTCGGGTCAAAGAAAGAATTATGTGACCGAGTATAGGATATAACATGTCTTTATGTAAACTACAACTAGCACGTTCAAAATCAGCTCAGTGTGTCTGTTTGATTACTAGAGCCGGGTTCCTATTCATATTGCATCAACATGACCTGTTCCCGTATTGATATGCATATAATATTTGCTACTGAACGTTAAAAATCAATCAATCCATCCATCCATCAACGCCAAGCTTTCAAACCGAAAAGAATATGAAATAAGTGCAAAATTGAAAACACGGAAATCGACAAACTTCGGATTTTTTCGGCTAACTTCTGAAACAGCATTGAATAAAAAAAAATATTGTATACATGTATATTGATCTAACCCTGGAATTATTATATTATTTTACTTCCATGATCTAACTAATTTGTGTTTTTCTGATATATAATTTTTTTCTTTTTCATTAGTAGGCAGTTGTAACATGGGAAAGAGGAAGATTTTTTTATCATCATTATTTTTATATTAGATCATACTTTTTGGTAATCTGATATTCATATCTTCGGGAAATCGTATAAGGATCATTAGCTGTCAAAGTCATTTTCACTGATTTGGCTCAAATTCTCATATTTAATTTACAACATACTAAAATGTATATCCAATTTACAAATTCGAAAAGACACAATTAACAACGCATGGACTCGTCATAATGTATTAGAATTTCGTGTGTATTTTAAACTAGACGCTATCTAATTAACCATCGGAATGACCTCCGAAGAAATGCCGATGGTCTACGTCCCTATAAAAACATAAATATAAATAGACAAACAAGCACGTGCAATCGTTTAATACCATTTATCTAGGTCGGTTTCATGTCATTGATTTAAAAATTTTGTAAATCATCATTTGTACCTTTCATATGAGAATGATTTTACGTTGGTCGACGAAAATATTATTTCCGGTGGCTCCCTTGCTCCACTTTTCAATGTTGACATTCTTCTCTTTTTATAACTAAACATGCTTAGCACATGCGTGACTCGTCTCCAGCTCAGGGTTAAATTGAAAGTCGCATGAACACGGATTCAAATTAGGTTGGATTATTGAATTATTGACTTGCAAGTCTGTAATACATCAGCGGTATTTTAAGCTTTTGGCAAAATTGAAATCAAATTGACTGCTTAAAGCGAAATATTATTTCATAATTCCAGTTTTATAAATGTTTGAAACAAAACAAAAATCATATTCTAGTTTTTTGTGAAAGATGTAGCTAATGACCGTTTGATGATTAATTGATTTGATGTTGTTTGCTAAACGTCCATTTGCAATAACTCATGCATATTTAGGACGAAAAACTATTAACAACAAATACAATATGAAGGTTTTGCATGGTGGGAGGATTGCACTGGAAAACAATGAAAAGTTGACTTGCAATAGATCAACTGCGGACCTCTCAAAGAGTTTTTGCTATTGCTTTTAACGTGCTGAGAGCAAGTCATTCTCTCCAATTGGTTTTAAGGTCCTCATCGTGACCGGTCGTGGCTACGAAATTATACATCCCGCACTGCCAAACGGATTATAACCTTAATGATGTTTGAATGAAAAATATTTTGTGAATATAAAAACTGGAATAGTTTATTACGCATGTGTTGAGGTACTTACAAAAAAAACAATGAGTGATTTTAGAACTCTTAAGATTGTCAACGATTCTTTTTTTCTGCAGTTATAAGAATACCGTCCTTTGAGAAACCATAATTATTCAGTATGATACGGACACCTTGATATCTATACTTCGTCATAAAATGTATTTGAAGTAAAATAAACCTCACCTTTTCCATCAGATTTTTCTTCGTCTATTTCTCCGTCACAGTCGTTATCTATTTTGTCTCCCTCCTTCATCGGGCTAGCTAGGCAATCCTGCAGTTCATAATAATAAAAGATGATTGATTAAATTGTTTCTAAACACTGCAACATTAATATTAAGCCCTTTGTACGCAGTGATTAATCAGTGGCGGATTATTGGAGGGAGGTTGGACGAAGAGCGTCTACGCCCCGCCCCTTTGATTGGAAAATATATCTATTTTAGCATTAAATCGTTAAGAAATGTATATATATCGGTAAATCTTCTGAACTCGGGACTTATGCGCCCCATTTCAAAAATACTGGATCCGCCCCTGTTACGGTATGTGGTTTCTTCGTCTTTCTGTCATTTTGTCATTCAGATTCTTTTCCAGGATTTATTTTATAGATTTGTACAAAACAATAAAGGCCACAGAAATATGTCTGTTTCCACTTGACATGATAAGATTGGTCCTTATTTCTAACCAATTCCATGCCAATTTTATATTTTTTTATATAGGAAAAGACAGTGCATACATAGCAAACATTTTATATGAAAACTATAAAATGGCCAACATATCCAAGACCATGCATGCAATTTGATTGCTATTCTGTTTGACCACACTCGCTTGAAGATCGTTCAAGATGAGACAGAGGACTGTTTATTTAGCTTTGACTCAAACAGTCATTTCTAAAATTGAAATAAAAAAATTCTATGACGCAATACGCCAATAGCAATTTCAAATCAGTTCAAGACTTGCGTTTCATATTCCGATTTCCTTGAATGAGGGTTGTTGCTTACAAGGAATCAGTTTATCAAAGAATTTTTTTAAATATAAAGTTGAATTTTACGGACGACAACAACATTTTGTTAATTGTATGGAATATCTGTGTCACAAATGACAGTGAATATGATGCACCTGTCAAAAATACTTGTCCGGTCTCTTTCAAATGTTTGTGACATTAGAGATTGGGATTTGTTAACGGATTTGAGCAACATGGAGTGTGAACCAGTGATTAAAAAGAAATCGGTGTTTGAGTGGATTCGTGTTGCTTAATGTTTTCTCTATAGCGTTTTGTTGACTGCTTTTCTGGCCTTTTATCATGATTTTGTCGCTCTTTTTCGATGTATAGTTTTCGCTAACTCCCTTACTAAATGCTCCACTTTTCTTCGATCCATATTACGCCATTTATTAGCTGTTTAAGATTGCATGCCCGAAAAAAAAGATATGCTTTAACAGATTTTGTTTAATGAAAGAAAATGTCGTCAAAAGATAAACACTATAAAATCATAAAACGTAGATCCTTAAGTGTGTGTGAGATCAAACTTTCATTATTGTAATCATGGAACATGCAAAATCATTTGAAAATATCTGGGTTTTAGGAAACAGATACTAAAGCTGTTAAAACTGCAACTTGTAAAATAACAAAATGAAGACAGTTTTTTTCCACTTAATATTAGGCTTTCTCGGTATTTCATTGGAGTGTCTGTCACATATATTTGCATTTGGTAAATGTACATGTTTACATAAATCCTTTTTCCCCATACAAATAATAAAACAGTATGAAAAGGATTCATCTGTTAATATCCATGTCCGATTCTAATAAGGAACTGTTATCACTAGGTTCACGATTTTACGTAGTGTAATAAAACTAAAAACCAAGTGTCATATACATATACTTACCGTGTTTATTGGTTTTAATAATAATCCAACAGGAAATCCGTATGATTCAGCGTTAGCCTTGCCAAATACTGTGGTTGGATCAGTATGAATGACTGTATGTGTACCAACTGATATTTTCATGTAACCTCCCACGAGGTGAGTCTCTGGTATTTTGTGATAAACTTGATCGCCAGCTAACGATCGATTATCAATTCTAAGGCCATTTGTCTGCGAGGAATCGATGATAAACATAAAATAGTTTGAATAATTACCGTGAGAATATTCCGGAGTTGTAAATGTATATTCAAAAGCATATTGTTCTATTGGAATGACAGTTATCATTGACGGATCAGCATAATCACCATGGCCTTTTTGTGTCAATGAAAACTGGAACACTGATATAGCTTTGTCAGCAACTATATGAGAATACAAACCAGAGCTATAGTGTTTTTGGACGTAATGACCAGCTTTGTCAAGTTTGATATGGTCCTGAAATGGTTTTCCAGAGTTTATACCAGAAACGTGTATGTGTGTGTTGTCTTCGCTAGCAATGAATCTAAATATATCCCCTATACCATGTCTTTCGGGTATTGGAACGGTGGCGAAATTATTTCCCCATGACGATAATGGAAGTAACATTTCCACAAGATGATCGTGTGTGCTTCTATGCCCAACTACGGTTTTCTTGTTTCCGCTTAATACGCCTACTGGCTTACTAGATACAATATGGGAGCCAGTTAAATCATGTTTAGAACGAACCTCTAGTGTACTGAGTCTATCTAAAGTCACATTTATCCATTGACTTCCATGATATGTGTGTCCATTTAGAGTAACACTTAAATGATGTATTTGTGGTAAATGAATGGAAACATTTGTTTCATCATAAACCCCAATAATCGCAAAAAGACAGTAATGTGTAGCAGGATAATACGAAACGGTATAATACTCTTTACCAAGGGCGTCGATAGGCAAAGCAAGATAAACAGCATCGGACTTTTCTTCCTTGTTAACAGCATAAACTACGATTTCATCGTCTGCTTGAATGAGTACCGCTTTTTTAGTCAGTTCGGTGTTATGTAAACGGAAACTTGTATTCAGTTTGACTAACTGAGTCTGGCCATGAATCACAGAGAAAGTTTTGTAGAGTTGAGAATTTGGAACACCAGAGGCTGAAACATTGACATGAACAATTTTTTTCTTAGAGGTTGTGATATATATCTCTGGATTTATATCATTACCATGAATTACTTCGTTTTCTATAAAAGCAACTAAGAACTCCTTTCCTTTATTATCCAACACAGCTGAAAATATATAGACGTAATGAAAACATAAAGAAACCTTACATTTTATTTGCAATGGTAAATGAATGACACAATTTAATGTCCTATGACTTATAGCATTTCCGCTAGATCAATTCTCTTGTTTGAAGCACTGTTTGTCCAGTAACCAATGTCATAGAGGAATGCGGATACAACTTACAAGCTAAAAAATTCTCAAACTGGAAGACCGTGATATTGGTGAAAAAAATATGTCATTAATTTGTCAATTCGGAAAGAACAAATTTAATTGTTTGTTTAAAATGTTGCTATGATTATACGTAAGTATATTAGGGACATAGAATATTTAACTTTTTTTTAAATGTCGATTTTAACCTCGAATTGTCAACTTTAACTTTAATATATCAACTCAAATCTCGAAATTATCGTCTTTGATTTTGGAAATCTCGATTTTAATCTTGATATCCTATATTTAAATCTCGCAATTATCGACGTTATAATCTTGGAATTAAATGAAACCACTTTAATAAACATGTAATCCTATATTTTAGAATAATCCTTATCTTATGTGACCTACTGTAAAACGATGACATTTGTGGGCTTACCCATTTAAGTGGCAATTTTGATTCAACACCTATTACCATGTAAATTGTTAACTTTTCTCATCATGAAAGTACATTACATATTTAGCACTCGATAATGTTACGCATTTCTTATTACAGGTACCCATACTTCTTCTTCTACCAGTTAATGGCCACATTCAACAACCTGATTATCCTGCCATGACTTTGCAACATCATTTGATTTTCACAAACATAAAATTACTAAGCTAAACAAATTGTATTCTTTCTTTTCCTCTCTTTTATTATGGTATGTCGGAATAATTGACATACACTACACTTTTGAATTCCCTATACTATGACAAAGACATTTCATTGTACATTCCCCCACCGCAGCACAGAGTTTACCTCCAGTATTGGATCAAAAACCCCTTTAATCTTTATTTTACAAATTGTTACGAAACTAGCCAGTATAATTCTAATATTGTGTGTTTCAAATTTGTATCGGACATTCAAAACTGTCGTTGCGAAGATTTGTTCAGATAGAAAGAAAATTTGAGTAGCACAAATTTACGAGTTTTTCAATATCTCATCAAAGTTTGGATGTTTATCTGGCCACCGCATTTTTTCAATAAAATCACCTTTCACTCACATAAAACTATAAGAAATTGAAGCATTCAGCAACCTTCAATAACATTAGGTTTACTGTACCTGACGTAAACTGAACCATACATAAAAAGGCACTGAAATAAATTAATAAAATCATTTTAAGATCACACACACACACACTTTACACAAACTGTTCGGTTCACAATTTCCAAGAACAAGAATAGAATTAAGATTTCATCTTATCTAAACTGTTTATGGTCACGTGATGTTTGTATAATAATGAATGTGTTCCTTTAGTTCCATCCAAAGTGAAAATTAGGAAGCATTTTTATTCAAATCTAAATAGATGTATTAAATATTCAGACAAATTTGTGATATTATATAAAGGTATGTCTGTGACACCTATTTTGGTGCGCCCGAAATGTGTATTTCAAAATAATCCTCACAGGATCGCTTATGATGCATAACACATACAGGTGACCACTGAAAGCACAAAGGCCAAAATGAACGTTACACAACAGGTGTTAAAATATATACAAGTTCGTTCAATATTCCAAAGAATACTGTTTGCACAACATGCATCATATATTAGATAAAGGCAATAGTAGTATACAGCTGTTCAATAGTCATAAATCGATTTAACTGAAACAAATCCGGGTCACAAACCAAAACTGAGGGAAACACATATTACCATAGCTGTATTTGGCAAAACTTTTAGGAATTTTTGGTCCTCAATGCTCTCTAACATCGTACTTTACTTGGTCTTTTAAACTTTTTTTTTATTCGAGCGTCACTGATGAGTCTTTTGAAGACGAAACGCGCGTCTGGCGGAAATACAAAATTTCAATCCTGGTATCGATAATGAGTTTATTATCAACTATAAGAGGAAACAAAACGGAACAACAGAAACACTGAACTGCTACAAAAACAAACGCCAACATACATAAAAAAAGGACTATGTGATAACAACTGCCATATTCCTGACTTGGTACAGGACATTTTAATAAAAAAAATAGTAGGTTGAACCTGGTTTCATGGCTATCCAAACCTCCCACTTATATGGCAATGTTAAAAATACCGCTAAAATGACATATTACGTGACAGGAATACAGTACAAATAAATGCAAGAACATTCAGGACAGAGAAATACATAAATAAATAATATAATAGTACATTTCAACATGTAAACCACAGAATAACAACGGACACCTAAAATTAATTTACGACAGAACACAAATACAGCACAATAGAATAATGAACTCTGCGTCACACAAATGTATCAACGCCACAAAAAGTGACATCTCAGGTGAATTTTCTAAAAATAGAATATAAAATTGGGATTAAGTTTGTAATGGTGTTATTTGATGTATTTTCTAACCATTACAAGAATATTAATATATAATTGGCTTAGTAATGGTGTAATTATTTGTATCATTAACGCTTCTCAAAATAACATTTAATTTATGTTTCTGATTTTAAACATCATGACCAGCTGTTGTTTGAATTATAAAAAAAAAAATAGTGCCGCCTTTGTCAGGGTATAACATTTGAGGAAAAACCAGTTTGTACAAAGTATATAGTACTACCAAATGATTGCTGTTTTTTTTATGTTTTACGTTCCACTTTTACAAACAGATTATATTGAGGCGACGTAAATATTACATGAACATAAAATTCAAAATGGGGTGTGATGAGACAAAAAATTAAAAAGAAGTTTTACTGCCACAGAAAATTTACAACTATGGCTTTGCAGGTAGTCATATTAATATATACATATGTCATAATTATAATACAAATGAAAAACCATGCGATCATAGATTATTATAACTGACAAATAATCTCAATTAATGAACTACTTAGTAGTATCTTAATAAATATATAGTATGAAGCATAACAAAATAAAAATTCTATGAGATACAAATGAAATGTAAATTTCGTACCCGCCAAATCGAAGGTCCGCCAATCAAACAAATCTCAGAAACTGCAAATTGCAACTTTTATTATATTTCTAAAATAATTTAAAGGGTGAGTCTACACCATCTTCTATAATCCAAGTCGAGGACTCGAACCTCGATCCCCATCACAAGGACCAGGTGTACTAACCATTGAACTAACAAGGATGTATGATAGAGTTAACAGTGTAAACCCTCTACAATAATAATAGAGAAAACAGGATCAATAGTCCACTCTCTCTTATGTGAAGAATAAGAGTAAACCATCTCCTAAAAATAAGCTGCAATTTACTAGTAAATTTGAATTTAAAAATCCTAAATCTAATTTCAAACACGATCTAAATTCAATTCATTCTATTTCAAATGTTTAAAAATGAGAAAGAGTATTAGTTATAAAGCTAAAAACTTTATTGAGTCCAGTAGTGGACAAATGCAATTTGTCAACTGAAAACAAAGTGTTAATTGGCTTCCTCACTCTACTATAAACAAAAAGTTAAATCACAAAAATACTGAACTCCGAGGAAAATTCAAAACGGAAAGTCCCTAATCAAATGGCAAAATCAAAAGCACAAAAAAGTCTTCTCACATGACATGTATCTGACATTAGTAAGAGAGGAAGCCAACTGTTTAAGTACATTGTTAAAATTCATAACATACAATTCAGAATGATTAAAATCACATGGCCTTGGTAAAATTGAGGATACAGTAATTATACTATCTGGATTACAAATCCTCAATTCATGTATAATACCACGAATGTACTTTTAAAATAAACTAGTATATTGAATAAGTCATTCGTACCCACATGCAAAATAATATTGTTAAAATGGTACCAGGTGAATACCCTATTTCTTAATTTTCTTAAGAGCATTTCGCAACTCAGTCCACCAAAAGCCTGAAGTTACGTATTCCTCATCTCTGGAAGATACTTTAAAAAATAGAATCTGAAATAACAATGATGGGTTTACCCCATGCCTTCAAACCTACAACATTTAAAATTTAATTCCAACTAAAAACATATATCAAAGACTTCCAATCATTTTTTTATGAGACTTGCAATTTATCAGCTAAACCATATCTAAGGTACAATTTATTCCAATCTCCTTGTAATTGAATGAGTTCAGAATATACGCCACATTGGAATGCCCAAGTTGCACTCCTCTTCTGAAACTATGAGATGAGTATCCTGATTGATCTAATCCAATTTTCTCAATAATGTTTTTAAAAAAAGTTTGCAACATATTGTTAGACACTGGCTTAATTTTTCTAACAGATAAAAAGCTTGGGAAGAAGCTGAAACAGGAATTTTTTCACACATGGCCTTAAAGGCACTATATGCACATAACGGAGAGTATAAATTCTTAATAATTGGTATTTCTAATATCTCTCCCCAAACTGTATAGTCTTAGACCAATGAAACTGAACTAATAAATAATCTTTAAAAACTGAAATATCTTCTCTATGTAAACATTTAGAGCTATCATCTACTGTTCCAACTAAATTGGCTTTCCTACATATCAAATAGAAAGCAAAAAGAAAAATGCACCAATAAGTGTAACTATTGACATCATCAAAATCTTATTCCTCCCTTATTTTTGATAAAATAAATGGTTTGATTGGAAGAGCTGCCCGAATTGTGTGGGGATTGCATCGTTTCAATCCCTTCATAAATAACCTATAATAAAATGACTCAAAATGAATTAAAGGCAGATCAAACGTGAATGTACATAGAAAACAAATGAACTAAAGGCAGATCAAACCGTAAATGTACATAGAAAACAATGTAAGTGTCGTCCTTTTAGGGGGTCATTCATCTCAGTCGGATGAACTAGTTCCATCTAGTTTCTACACCAAGGCGTTCCATCAGGGAAATGGAACATGTTTAACGGAATCATACTTAGTGTTTTATAGGCATAAAAAGAAGTAAATTAATAAAAATTCAAAACGGAAAGTCCCTAAACAAATGGCAAAATCAACAGCTGAAACACGTCAAACGAATGGAAAACAACTGTCATATTCCTGACTTGGTACAGGCATTTCCTTATGTAGAAAATGGTGGATTAAACCTGGTTTTATAGCTAGCTAAACCTCTCACTTGTATGACAGTCACATACAATTCTATTATATTGACAACAATGTGTGAGCAAAACAAGCAGACATAATAGGGAAACATATCAAAAATTGGGGTACAGCACTACGTTAAAGAAAAAATGCAGTACTTTTTAAGAAAAAACAAAAGGCGACACACAATCCTATGAGAATCATTTAGAAAAAATTCCGATTTGTATCTATAATGGTCACATTCCAATATATCATGATATATTTGAAACTTAATCTTTAGTGTGTCAGATATTCAGTAAGATAAAAGCATGTTATTACTTGAAATAGTTCATATTATTTTTGAAAAAAATATAATTTTGTTAATTTTTAATCAAAATTGATCGTGAAAGATCAGGAAACGCATTATTTTGATCGTGAAAGACTAGGCGTGACCAAACATAATGATCAGAAAACAACATTTCTTTTACTAATTGATATGCTTGTAATTGGTTGAAGCGTGTAATTACTTACTAAGAACGTGAATTAATGCTTTCATTTTTTTGTGATATTTATATACTTATTTAGACCTGTTTTCATTTATGAAGCAATGCTAAATAGGCATCCAAGATAAAAAGACCTTCATTGCGTAAATTGTCGAAAAGTAAATATATTTGTATTTATAATGCTAAATGCATCCACGAATGAGTGAAAATACCTGTGCCAAGTCAGGAATAGGACAGTTGTTTTCCTTCAGTTTTATAAACAATGTTTTTTCCCAATTTTCGTTTTATAAATATGACTGCATAAAAATTAATGGAAATCAGATTAGATAATCTTAACTTTTCATACAACATAAACTTATGCAGGAAGGACAGAAGGACTTATATTGAAATAGGGCAACTACATGAATTCAATGTGGTATAATTTAATAATCAGATCCAATGTCATCAAACCATCATAGCCTTATTTACAAACAAAAGTGAAGCGGAATAAGTCATGCAAATCCAATCTTTTGCTATACCA